CACTTTAGATGTCTTTAAAAGGAGGGTGGGGACATCAGACAAATTGCCCAGAGTCGCTTTGTGTGAGATAAATGTGATATATAAATGTGATAGCCTTATTTTCCCTGAATTTATTTATTTATCTATCAATGGCTACTATGCGTATATGTCATCTTCTCTGAAATTGGAGGCAATACTGTATTTCTTTATCACTTCTAGGGAATATAAATGGGAGGGTGTTTATCATCCTCAAGGCCTGCTTGCTAGCTTCCTAAACAAATCTGGTTAGCCTTTATGGAAACTGAATACTGGACTGGATAGTCCTTAGTCTGCTCCAGCCAGGTTTGTGAATGTTCTTTCTTTCCATAAGAATTCACATGAAAAATGTTCTTCACAACTGTGGGAAAGCAAAAGAATGAACTTCCCGCATGCTTTACATAAATCATCACAGCAACACAATGGTTTGGGGAGGGATACTTGTATATATGGTTTTAATCAACCTTCCTTGTGGGTTTTCTCCCCCAAAGTTGCTGAGTAGGAGTTGAACTCTTCAGAATTCCACCTCTGCTTTTGCTGCCAGAAGCATCTCTCCCTCCAAAGGCTTTCTTTCAGCTCTGTCTCTGTTTCCTTCCCTGTCTGTCTCATTTCACCGTAGAAGTCTCTATGTGGCAGCACTGTACAGAATTGGACATACGCTTCTTTTCCAAAATTCTCCATTCAACACCCTCTCCAAAGGATGAGACATTTTGGAAAGAGTTGCTTTGGTAGCTCAGTTTTTTTCTGTCCCGTAGTAGTGTATGCTGACTGCAGTAATAGTGGATCCTGGCCAGCCCAATAACAAACCAGGGTGATTTGCAGAGCTAATACTCTATTCCCTAGTTTTATATGAGGAAACGCAGTAACGCTTGTTAATCATTTTGCCAGATGGAGGGATGGAAGAAAAAATATGCTGGAACTAGTTATTCTGACGCAGCATTATCAGTGGCTCAACTACCTTTGTTGGAAAAGTAGAAACAGTTTCACTCAACGTGTCAGTAGTTCAAATGTGCAAGATTCATTGTCTCTGAAAAAGTAATACATAGGAAAATATGTCTTTCAGTTCAGTATCCAAGCAGGAAACCTCTCCTTAGTGCACTGCACTAACCCTAGTCGTGATGGCCTACAATTCCTAATATTTTCAGTTGATGGTTGAGAAGGCTACTTTATAGCAAAATAGGCAGTACTATAGCAGTGTCCCTCAGCATTCTGAACAATGAACAGTAAATGGGTTTATATCTGTCCTAACAACATTCTTTTACATTTTCTTTAAAAATTTTATAGAACAGAGGATCCTTTAGCCTTCCCCAGTAGTTTTACATCTAGTTTATAAAGCCCCCAGGTGATTATATTAGAGCCAGTTGAAAAGGATAGCATGAAATTAGAAATGCAGTAGAAGAAACACAAAAGCGTTCCCAAAACTATGGGAGACCCAGAACACCCTCTTATTAGTCAGCAAAACAGTATCATAACAGATTTTGGCCCTCAGTTGCTTTTTCAAGGAAGCTGCCTTTATCCTGAATTAATTTACATGAGGTTCGCTGATTCAAATTAGAAATCTACATCATTGACCAGCAACAATTTCTGAAAGAACTTACTTTTTTTCAAAGAAACTCTTGGTATTTAAAGCTGCTGGTTCAAATTTTTTTTTTATGGATCAAGGAATCTAAGGTTTTCAGTGTGGCTAGAATTCTTGCTATATTTCTCCATACATAGAAATCACTGGAATTCCAACAAGATAGATCTGGAGAGAAGGAAAAGGAAGCCTCATGAACTGGATGAATTTTCTGCAACAAGTCATTGATCAAATTAATCAAGTCTGTGCACAGTAATGATTTCTCCTTCTCATAAGATTCGTATTTTTACAGCAGGATAGGGCAGCTGCTGGCTTTTCAAATGATGAAATGATGCAACTCTCTTTGGATGAGTACCAGTTTATTAGAGAACTAAGGAAAGGAGAACGTGTTTGCTTTGCTTTCTCCTCCATGTGGATTCTTCCCAATGAAGCATTCTTTTTCTTTGTGTTGAGTGAGATATGGCATTGTTGCCCAAGTCCATCCTAACAGCCATGGGGTTTTGGGACTAGGCATGCTGGCATGAAAGAAAATGCAGGATAACAGCAGACTGATCAGTTTGCTGAGGTGACTGTTTCTAATTTAAAACAAACCTGGGGATAGATACTGTGCTTACATTGAGATTATTGCCTTTATAAGTGGACAAAATATCTCAGTCAACTGATGAAAACTATCAGGTTGTATTTTCTTGGCCAGGTGTCTGTCCTTTTGGTCATTTGAATCAAATAATTCAAGTAGAATAATTCTTTCATGTATAGCTACACAGGTTTAGGAGAAACACAATATCTCATAAGAGTAGTAGTTGGATTTGTGGTATAGCGAGCATGTATGTGCTGTGATGGCTGCCTTGTGAATGCTGATGCAGGAATTGTGCTATTGGACAAAGCCCGCCCCATTTGTAAGGAGATTGTGCAAATAATGGTGTATTTTACAGAACTTGCTAGATACATGGTTGACAACTGACCTGAAAAAAGTGGTCTGTCTTGCTCTTATGCTTCTAACAGCAGTCTGACCTTTACCTTCCAAGTAAAGCTTTTCACTTTGTGAAAATTATTCTTACAGTCTGCTAATGCTTGCAGTTCAGGCTGCAGTTAAAAGAAATGGAATGGTGGGCAGTAAAATAAATATACAATTATAGATAAAATAGAAGAGGCTGGCAGACAAGCCAGTGTGAGAGCTGTTTATGTATGTATTGCTCCCAGACAGTTGTACGGTATGTACAGTTGTAAGGCTATACTTGTGAGCAGGGTCAGTTCCACAAACCTTTTCTACAAGATCCACCAATCCAACATTCTTCTTCCATGTTGTGTATGGAAAAAGCAGTAGTGGTGCTATTCAGACAGAGCACTCTGTATGTTCTATGCTGTGGTTCTTCAAGCTGTGTTCTGCAGAACCCCAGGCTTCCATGATTGAATTCCATGGAACTGTAACAGTCTTTGTGCAACTTGTGTGACTGGGAAAGTGGCCTAATACTGCCAATACTAAGGGAGGTTTTTATATGACACATTTCCATACAAGATCTGCTCACATTTTGACCACGCTGTGTTTTTTTTAAGTATTTATTTTTGTTTGCACGCCATGAACTGTTTTTTTAATCAACTATATGTTGTATCAATTTGCAACATTTAATAACTTGCAATATTAATTTGACAAATTTTACTACCTGTTTCTACAAAGTCTAACACTATCAGAAAAGTTTTGGAATGGAGGAAGTCATAACAGTATTTGAAATATTGTGGATCTCCAATTCTGTAGAATCTGCTGGAGACAGAAGAGCCTTTGGCTCAAGCTGGAGGGCAGCATTGCTGATTGCAAAAAGCCAGACAGAGTTGGACTTGGTTAGTACTTGGATAGACAATCATCAGGGAAATCTCAGGACTGTAGACTAGTCTACGAAACTGAGAAAAATATCCTGGATGGCGGTAATGGTAAATCACTTTGGTATTGTTGCACAGTCATGTCCATGATGTCAGCTCTGAGACTTTAGCGTTTACCTTCAGTGACTCTTCTCTCTCAGACAAAATCTTCAGAATGTACTAAAACAGAAAAATTAGTTGCTCTAATTAAGACATTGTTGCATATACTAAATTCTTCGGATATAAAACTATTGGTTGCTTACAAACAGAGGGTCTATTTTTCTTGGGAGTTTCCTGTTAATATCTGGTAGATTTCTGGAGAAACAGAATGTTTAATCAGATAGGTATTTGGTGTCCAATAGAATCATTCTTTTTTAAAGATGAATTGATTTAATTTAAGAATGCATACTAAGAAACTAAGTAACATTAAACATGATAGATTTGCATTCCTCATTGGACATAGAAAAACAACCAAGATTTTTAATAATATGCAGTAAATGGACTGCAGTTTAGCTTTTAATTGTTGCTTTTATAATGAAGACTCCATAGATAGTAAAGATGCTTATACCAGAACTTTTATCCGCAGGTTAAAGCAGTTTAAAGTATTCCAGGAATAAATCGTTTACGTGAATATTCTGCAATATACATAGTGATAATGAATGTTTATAATCTCATCAGCCTCCCCATTCAGAACTACTGAATTTTTATATTATCTTGTCTCTCCCAGTCATATGAAGGCAAGTCAGAGTCATGATGTTGTTAGGTTGATGGGAATGTTTGTAAAGTGACCTCTAATCAAGGTTTTATTGTCTAAAATATGAAGAAATGTTCATGGTTTTATTTTTATGTTCATTATGGATTATGGTTTTGGCATGATAGTATATGGGGTGCTGAACAGATGTAATAAAGCAAAAGTTTGAAATTACTTCAGAGGTTCTTATAAGATAACACAGCACATAAAAGACCTTTTAAAGTTAAGGTTTTCTTAGCTTACATCCAGGTTTAATATTCATCTGGAATACAAAGACTGACCAAATATTTGACTATACTGGACAGCTTTTGTGGAAAAATGCTACTCTTGATTTTAATTTGTTTCATAAAGAAGTATAAATTCATTGTTTTCTATAATATAGTAATACAGGCATACCTCAGAGATATTGCAGGTTCGGTTCCAGACCATCACAATAAAGCCAATATCATAAAGTGAATCAAATGAATTTTTTGGTTTCCCTGTGCATATAAAAGTTATGTTTATACTATACTGTAGTCTATTAAGTGTGCAATAGCATTGTGTCTAAAAAAATGTTCATACCTTAATTAAAAATACTTTATTGCTAAAAATGCTAATCATCTGATAGACTTGCTCAATGCAGGGTTGCCACACATCTTCAATATGTTAAAAAAAAAGCAGTATCTGTGAAGTGCAATAAAGTGAAGTGCAATAAAACATTGCTGTTTAGCAAATTGTTCTTTTGAATCTTTTCCCTTGTTCGGTTCTTTTTAAAATCTAGGACAAGATACACAGTCAGTTTTGGCCCTCTTTCTCTTTTTCCAGGATTCCACCATGTGTTCCTCAGACTCTGAGAAGTACTGCTCATGATCCGGTCACAGAATGCTCTCTTAATGCCAGATAGCTGTCACATAGTTGCCTAGACGGGACTACGGATTCAGCAGCTGTGTGGCTGATCCCATCAGCAAATTTGTCGAAGAAATGGACACCCATATGGACTTGCTGACAGAGCTCCAGCTTCTGGATAAGGTACCTACCCTAGAGCGACTCCGAGCCGCTCAGAAACGCAGGGCTCAGCAGTTGAAGAAATGGGCTCAGTATGAGAAGGAGATGCAGCACAAGAAGCGGAAACATGAGAAAAAGAGGAATGTTGTCTGCCCCAAGAAAGTGTCTTTTGAGGCCAGTGTTGCATTGCTGGAAGCTTCGTTAAGGAATGATATTGAGGAAGGTAAGAAATACTAAAAGTGAAAATCACATGCATCTTACAAACCTTAAGTTTGTCTAAAGACATTTAAGTACCAAATGGTGTTCCACCAAGTAAGGTGTTAAAGTAGATTGTGGTTCTGTAGACACAAGCCAGGGGAACAGTTGCATGAGATGGAAACCTTTGAACTATGTTCAGAAAGTGGCATGTTCCACATTTTATCTTTCCCTGTTGATTACTTATATACCTAGTCTAGGCTGTTCTGTTTCTAGGCCAGATTACTTCCAGTAAGTTTGGAATAGTCTGTTTCAAGGTTGGCACTATTTGATCTTGAACTGTTTTGTACACTACTCCCTAAAGACATACTTTAGGTAGGTCATCTTAGATTCACTAATGAAAGTAGAAGATTTTTTTTCTGTCTAATCTTCCTGGTGTGTATATTATCTTAATTGCCAAGTTGTCTTTTTTCCTGGTAGATAAGTTTTGCATAAGAATTTAATGTGGCTGTGTTCATACAATGTAGAAGGTTGATTAGTTGATATCTTTGGAAACCTGGCTGCTGTAAATGGTATTGTGTGAGCATGAATGGTATTTTGTTATTTGGCCTGGAAAAGTTTTGGCTCTGATACTTTTGCCTCAAATGCAAAATAATTTGATTAAATTCTGTTCTTACATTGATTTCCATATTTGTCCAAGTTTAATAATATTTCTGATTAATTCTTTCATTCAGAATAAAATTTTGGTGAAATTTTGACTAGAACAGAAATTACATTTGGAATCCATTAGAAACATTTTAATGTGACTTAAAAGAAAATGCCACATAGTTTCTGAATTATATAATAAGTTGTCAAGATGCAATTAAATTTTAGGATTGGTCCAAACATTTCCTACAACATTAAGCATAAATCATTGAATTAGAATAATATCAAGTGTAATCTGAACTCAAGTTGTACAGATTTGGGTTTTGGAAAAGATGTGGTATTATATAAATGTACATAATTTAAATATAATGAGGAATTAGAAATGAAAGTAGACAGTAGAAAGTAGAAGTAGAAATACGAGGAAGTAGAAAATATGATTTGGCTAGTGTTCATGTACATTTGAGATTTTATATAAAATTCCTTGTAGAAGTTTTAAAAGAAAAATTGTTTCATTGGCAATGTTCAGCATGTGACATGTGAGTTTAGTATTGAGTAACAAAGAAAATAATTAGGGGGAAAAAAGAAAAAGATTTGTTGTTGCATGTACCCAGAATATATTTAAGAATGCTAAGATATATTTGAGGGATTTGAAAAAGATTACTTTATAAGACTATACAATTACATGATTAAATTATTGATGTTATCTGCGACATTTTCGGGACTTGATATATGGGGTGCAGTCTAAAACATTTAGTTGCCTAAAGGCCTAGCTTGACATTCCTTTGATGGTTGGTTTGCAGCTATGTATCTTGTTTTCCTCTTCTTTAAAGCAAAGCTGGTGACATTTTTATTGCAATGCAGTGCATATGAAGAAGCTGCTTATCTCTTCTCTACCTAGCATGTTCCTATCCTTGCTCAACTAGATTTCATTGAACTGATGAAAAGTAAGGCAGATGAGAATTTGGCTCCTACTGCCACTTCTCATTCGAGATAGCTGTTTTCCCTGAGCTCCAGTAGGACTGGCCCTGAACGTGTATCCTTTTGGTATATGTACTTCCATAAAAAGACTGTGTACACAAGTCCTGTTGCTATTTATCCAGTTTTAATTCTATTAGACTTCTTAAAGTTTTGTGTAATTCTTCAGTATGTACCCAGAAAAAGTCCAACTGAATTTAGTTCATCTGATTTCAGTATGCATAGATATGACTCACACAATATACTAAGGCTTGCTGTGTTGTTTTTATTATTGTTTAATTAGTGAATAAACTACCCCGCAAAAATGGGTTTCCTAAATCAAAATCAAGCAAACCACACTTTGGCTTGATACGATGTGTGAATCTTACTATAGGCTGGATAGCTAGGGGCAAAGAGGAACTAAAATTCCCTGTAGGTAGTCTTCCCTAATGTGTTTACTTCCAGATGTGTTGCAACTACAATCCCAGAGTCCTTAGACAGGATGCTGGTTGGGAATTCTGGGATTTGTAGCTTCAATACATCTGGAGGATGCCAGATTGGAGAAGACTGCCTGAAAAGGAAGACTGAATAAACAAGGGATCAATAAAATGGAATACTGGAACTCATATTACTAAAATTAGTATTACATTATTATTTTCTGTCTAGTACTTAATGTATTTTACACACATACATGCACGCGCACACATACGTACACGATGGTCTACTAATTATTGACCTAAATATTCTTTGTGACAGCTGTAGTAATTATTAGATGATTCTGCTGAGTTCTTTATATATATTTTTTATGTTTTTGCTTATCAAAAACATTTTAACAGATATACTCAGCTCCTTTATGCTGTACATTAATCTTTTCACAGGATTCTCTTTCTGTTTCTTTGATGCCCCACATATTATGTACCTCTACTATCACATGCATACTTATTTGAGTATTTTGCAGGAATGTCTTCAACGTGTGGTCAAAAAAGTCAAAATGGTGGCCATGTTGATGCAATCAAACCTCTGTCTGCAATGCACATGAAAATGGCAGGTCACATTGTCACTAACACCATCTTAATTTTTTTCACCATGCCCTGTGAACAACTCTAGGGGAAAAAGTTATTGTAAACTGCATCTAAAACTGCAAGAATATGTATGAATATTAACTTTGAAGTGTTTTGTACAAGTTTTTTTTTTCTCAAGCAAAAGAGAAAAGGTATGTGATATTTGATATTTATCCTCTCTCTTAGATTTAACAAAGAAAGAAAGGAAAGGAAAACCTACAGGGTCTTAACGTATCTTGCTTCAAGTGTTGCTGCTTGTTTAACTTGTATCAGCTATAGACTTAGCTCCCACCTATTAGGCTCTGGAGGGGAAACAAAACCAAAAATAATTCCTACTTTAAAATCTGCCAGTCTAAATCTAAGATTGATAGGTAGGTATGACAAAGGAAGCAAAATCCAGAGAATAATAACAGGATTGGAATGATCTTGACAGGCAGTATACCCACAGTGTAATTATTTTCATGGAGGTAACTCTGGGGGTCTGGCCCAAAAGTTTTATCTTTGCAATATCAATACAACTTGAGAGAAATTGCAAGTAAAATCTGATTACTTTTCTCTTGCTTAGAGATAGAAGACTCCGAGTAACTAACTAGATGGAAGCAAAAAATCTACAGTGGATTAGTAGTTAATGTAAAGGCAGGATTATGAGCACCATGTAGTGTAAATACCATAAATAACAGGGGTGTCCATAGGGTGTGGTCCAAAAAGTCAAGATGGCACCATGGCAGAATAACCAAGGCTGGTCTGGAATGTTCTTTGCTTTTTGATATATAGATAAGGTAGATTCTTTTTACCAAGTCCAGTCCTCTGTCGTTTTATCTCCTGCCTGTTCATGTCTCTTCCTCCATGCTTTCCCCCACATTCTTCTTGCAAGAACTATTGCCGAGCCAATACCACTTACCTTGTACCTGTGCATCTGGTTTTTCCTACCTAAGTGCAAAACTTTACATTTCTTGCCACTGAACAATATATTGGATAGGGTTGAATGTTCAAGTCTGTTAAGGTCCTTTTGAACATTTAGCAATGTATTGGCTATTGTAGTAGATAGTGCAGGTAGGATGTGAATCATTTTGGAGAGGTAGATCACTGAGCTATGGGTGACACTAAGCTGGGAGGTTGGCTTATACCTTAATGGACAAAATTCACAATTCAAAATTACCTTGACTGGCTTTGAACATTAGGCTGATCTAACAGGGTGGTGTTCATCTATGACAAGTGTATGGAAAAATCTGATCCACAAATACAAGACTGTGGAGATCTGGTTTGGCAGAGTACATGTGAAAAGGAGGTAGGAATACAAGTGGACCACCAGCAGAATATTAGTGAGCAGTGAGATATAGCAGCTAAAAGAGCCAGTACAATTTTGGGCTACAATGACAGTAACAATTGTGTCCAAATTAGGGCAGGAGGTAATAGTTCCACTGTATTCTGTGCTTCATTTGAAGTGGGAAGTTCTAAGCATTCTAATTTAAAAGAAACATGGAATAATTTGAGTGGATTCAGAGGAGAACTACCAGGATCATAAGAGGTCTGGAAATCAAGCTCTATGAGGAGCTGGACATGTTTAACTTGAAAAAGACAAAACTAGCAGGAGATGTGACAGTGGTCTACAAATATCTAAAAGCTGTCATGTGCAAGAAGGGGCAAAACTGTTCTGCACTGAAATCAAGAGCAGGACAAGTATGAATAGGCTGAAATTAAAGAATATTCTGGTTGAATATTTGGAGGAATTTCCTGATAGTGGAACAGGCTGCCTAGGACAGTGATGGACTCCTCCTCAGTGGAAGCCTTCAAATGGGGGAGTGGTGGTGGTGGATGCCACCTGCCAGAGGTGGTTTAGTGGATTCTTTTTCAGAACAGGAGATTAAACTAGATGCCATATAAGGTCTCTTCCGTACCAGGCATTCTATGATTCCATGGAACCCACAGTTTTGTCTGCCAGAAATGGAATGCTATAGCTCAGCGTGTCTAAAGTTTTTCCTCTGAAGAGCTGAAGCTAATGGTGGAACTTAAAAGTACTATACTGCTGCCTTAACTTGCTTTTAAAACATGGGTTTAAATAGGGTATAGACAATTAGGATTTCTAAATTTTACATAAAACTTTGTTGTGCACATCTTCACCAAACTGTCCCTGGTTCTGCCGGATATGTTGGACTTCAAATCTCAACATTCTTAGCAAATATAAGGAAGAACAGGAATCAAAGCCCATTGCATCAGGGCACATATAGGTTGGGAAGGTTGGTTTACACAAGCTAATCAAAATACTGTAGACAAATTTGGGTGGCCAAGGACTGAGTGGGCAGTATGATAATGTATAGTAGAAGTCTGTCAAACACTGGGGAAGGCCCCAGTTTTTTGGGTTTTTTTT